AAGTAAGATAATAACACTGAACCTAATTCAGGACAGGAATAACCCCCTCCCCAACCACTCTGCTGCCTGATATATATTTTTAATGCCCCGTCCTTATCTGATTCTGTTCTCTCGTATAACTGTCCTGGAGAAAAACTGGCTGTCTTTCTCCCTATAAATCCAGCACAATGGGCCTGCCTGTAGGAGCTGCTGTTATACAAACAATAGTTAAACTTGTGAATGACAAATGAAGAAAGTGCAAGGCAGTGAGAATGGATGCACCGGGTGGTGATTTATTTTCCCTCGTTTGCCGTTGTTTTCCCTGGAGCAAATCTGCACATGTTGCCCTTGTTGATTCGAGAGAGGGGGAAGGAAGCAATTAAGATGTGCTGCCCCAATATCCACCAAGGAGCCCGAGCACTTTGGCTCCCTGTCTCAGTTGGCTATTTGCCCACATGGAAGCAGACAGTGATGGCCTGCCAGGAATAAGACATCCCATCTCCTGAAAACTGATTACTGTGTAGGTCCGTGTGTGTGTGTGTGTGTGTCTGTGTCTGTGTCTGTGTCTCTGTATCTCTCTGTGTGTGTGTTTGTGCTTGCAGAAGTTCCAACTCAGAAGACAGGCATAATAGCTTGAACTCTTGTCTGTATGCCAATTCCTAAAAAGAAAAGACCCTACTTCAGGGCTGGGTTCTACTTATCTTTACTACCGGTTTGCAATGGGGCCAAGCATGCTTGCTTCACTTGCATGCGTGCGCACTTCTGTGCATGCGTAGAGCAGGGGTGAAATGCTCCCAGTTCGGACCGGATATCCCGATCCGGTAGCGATGGCGGCGGGTGGTTCGGAGAACCGATAGCAAAAATCCCTCCCCACCCCCATGCCCAGCTGAGCCACGCAATCATCAGAGGCTTTTAATTTTATTTTTAAAAGCATTTTTTCTACAACCTCTTCAGCCGAAAAAATGCTTTTAAAAGTAAAAACAAAGCCTCTGCCGATCAGGCAAGTCAGCTGGGATGGTCAGAGGCTTAAAAAAAAAAGAAAAGCCTCTGCAGATCAGGCAAGTCAGCTGGGATCGTCAGAGGCTTTTAAAAGCATTTTTTTACAACCTCTTCAGCCGAAGAGTTGTAGAAAAAATGGTTTTAAAAGTTAAAAACAAAGTTGGCCACACCCACTCAGTCATATTACCCCCCTACCAAGCCACACCCACAGAACCGGTAGTAACAAATTTTACATTTCACCACTGGCGCAGAGGCTTCCTGATTACTTCGGGGTCGATGGGCAGAGCCTCCCGCTGGTTTTATTACCAAACCAGGGGCAACCCACCACTGCCCTGCTTACTCTGGACTTCCCCCCTGGCTTTGTGATCTCTTGTACTTTGTTGGCAGAGCAAGACCCATTGGGGCACGCCCTGGAACAGCACAGAACTGCCTAGGCGAGACCAAGCCTGTGCCACTTGCGTTGCCAACAGAGCTCCCCAATGTTAACTCCTACGGTGCTGATTTTGCCTGCCTTCTTCATCTCTGCTCTAGCAGGGCATTCTCCTTTGATCAAAGTGAAGCAGCTGCTGTGATAGGCAGGGATTGATGTTTTTCTACTGGCTGGACTCGACTCGGTTTATTTAGAAACTTGCTTCTGCATTTGAGAAATTCTTGGTGATTTCATTACAGCACAAACAGCAGAGATGGGTTGCTCAAGAGAGTCATTATTAGTAGGTAAACAGAACTTGCCCAGCCTTTGTTTGAGGTATGGCACAACAGTCATCAGGTGAGAAGATTTGTGCTTTATTGGAAACAGCAGAGTATAATTTCTAGCTGAACAGAAATCCAGTCTTCTTTCTAGAGCACATTCTTCCATCCATGTGAGAAGCATGATTTTCATATACTTTTCGAGATGAGGTGAACACTTCTTATATCATAGCTTCTAAAGGTCCACAAAAGAGACCAGCGACATTTGATATTCATTGGCTTCAAAGCCGAATTCTCATTGTCTGATAATCCATTCTCAGAGGTGAAAATTTGCCCAGATTTGGAAAGTAAGAAGGCAAAGTAGATTCTCATATCTTTCCAACTGGAAATTCTCTGGTCATTGATCATAGACTTAAAGTTTGTATTTATGGAGCTGATAGTAAATAGTGCCATGCTGTAGCATTCTCACACCCAGAGAAACAAAGTACATGTTTTACTTTAGGCCTTGAATTGGACCTGCAGGATGTTGAGTATAAAAACCCATCTAAGGTTTTCATAGGCTAGTTATTAGCTATTACATTTATGCACATTACTTTGGTGGTTTTTTTAACCTGTGGTCTGTGGATCCCTGGAAGGCTTTGATGTCATAATAGTGGGAAGGCTTGAAGAAATGTTAAGATTGAAATCTTGAGTTATGTCTTGGGGGTCCATGGTCACAAAAGGCATTTAAAGGGGTCAATGGTGAAGAAAAGGTTGAGAACTATTGCATTAGTTTATTTAGAGTATTTGTTTGCTGGCTACTCACTTAATAACTCAAGGTGGCTTAAGTAGTGCCAGTGTTATGTAGTAGTTAAGATACCGCCTAGGAGTGAGGAAGCCCAAGTGCAGGTACTTCCTTAGCTTTGAAACTTCACTGAGTGACACTGAGAGCCATTAATTTTTCCCTGCCCCAATATACTTCCCAAATTGTTGTGGGAATTACAAGGAAACCTCTGAGTAAATTGCCTTTCACTCCTGAGGAAAGGAATATATAAATTAATAATGATGGTAATGGCAAAAATACAGTTAAAACCATCCTTTAGCCTTATTAAAACAATAATTATAAAATAATTTAAAAGTTGAGTTAAAATAATTCAAATTCCAACAAGTATATTTCAAACACCCTCTGAAACCATAATCAGGAATGGTCTGCCTTTAACTCCAACCATAGGTTGTTCCAAAATATGAGCCCTACCACAGAGAAAACAGAATTAATCATGTCAAGTGTGTGTGTGTGCAGAAGGTGCCTGGAGGGATGATTTCATTGTGTGTGCTGGATTGAATAGGAACAGGTCGTCCTGCATGTGGCTTGGTCCAGATACTTCTGCAAGTCATTGCCAGATTGCTTTCAGCCTTGATGAATCTCTTCTGATGTTCACTTTTGTGACCTACAAATAGCAAGTAGGCACCCAGCCTTTTCATCCGCAGGTTCTTTTGGCAATCAACAAACACATAAAGACATAAAAGTATTTGTTCTATTTATTCCAACACTCAAGGCACCTTGTAACAAATAAAAATAGAAAATATTTCTATATTCTCTTGCAATGCATAATAAGTTTTGTCATTTTCCGATGTATATTCAGTGGGGTACTTCAAGGCTCTGTCTTAAGCCTGGTACTCTTCAATATCTTCATAAACGACTTAGACTAAGGTATGGGAGGGGAACTCATCAAAAATACCAAGCTGGCAGGTAGCCTACACTCCAAAAGATAGGCTCGAGATATGGAAAGATCTCGATAGATTTGAATCAAATGAAATTCAGTGGGGAGAATGGAATGGGATGGAATGGAATGGAATGGAATGGAATGGAATGGAATGGAATGGAATGGAATGGAATAGAATAGAATAGAATAGAATAGAATAGAATAGAATAGAATAGAATAGAATAGAATAGTATTCTTTATTGGCCAAGTGTGATTAGACACACAAGGAATTGGTCTCCAGTGCATAAGCTCTCAGCGTACGTACAAGCAACAAGTGATAAATCATGATCATGATCATAAAATACAATCATCATAAATCATAAGATACAACACTCAGTGATAATCATAGAATACTAAATAATAAGCCAATGTAAATCATAAGGTTCTACAGTTACGCAAGAAAAACCAAATGCACAGGTATAGAATAGGATGTATCCAGCTCAATAGAAGTAATTGTGAGTGGGATCTTGGAGTCCTAGTGGACAATTACTTAAATATGAGCTAACAGTGTGCTGCAGCTGCCAAAAAATCCAATGCAATCCAAGTCTGTATTAACAGAGGGATAAAAGCAAGATCTTGTGAAGTGTTAGTACCACTTTATATTACCTTGGTAAGACCACACTTGGAATACTGCATCCAGTTTTCGTCACCACAATATAAAAAGATGTTGAGACTCTAGAACAGTGGTTCTCAACCTTCCTAATGCCGCGACCCTTTAATACAGTTACTCATGTTGTGGTGACCTCCAACCATAAAATTATTCCTAAGAGCATCGAAAATATGTGTTTTCCGATGGTCTTAGGGCCCAAAGCACCTGAAGGCAGAACAAGAAGCAATGGAGGGAAACTAATCAAGGAGGGAACCAAGCTAGAAATAAGGAGAAATTTCCTGAGAGTTAAAACAATTAGTAATCAGTGAAACAACTTGCCTCCAGAAGTAGTGGGTTCTCCATCATTAGAGGTTTTTAGGAAGAGATTGGATAACCATTTGTCTGAAATGGTGTAGAGTATCCTGCTTGAGCATGGTGTTGACTAGAAGACCCCCAAGGTCCCTTCCAACTCTGTTATTTTGCAATATTCACAGCAATACTGCAATACTGTTTAAACTGAATAATAATGGTTTTTGTAAAGCAACTAATCCAATATGCAAACTTGATATATGGAAACACGGACAGAGCATTTTTCTCTCAGAATATTAGCGTCATCCGGTGAGACTGTCTCCACACAATGACAAGGTTGAGAAGTTCAGCAATTCGGAAAAGATCAAGAGTGAACCGAATGAAATTTAGAGAAAATAAGGTAGTCAGTAGCTACTAATTATAACTGCTACCTCTAAATCTGAGCAGCATGCTTCAGAATATCAAATTGTTTAGGATTAAAACCTGAAGAGAAATGCTGTTTTTTTACCCTACTCATAGGCTTCCTGGAGTTTTTAGCTTTACTAAAAGAATGATTAATTTGGACCAGGAAAGCTTTTTTTACAGTAATCTTATGTTCAGCACACAGCTATTCCAAATCAATAAAAGAGATGTGTTGCTGTAGTTAGTATATGAAACAATGTGATGTTTATTTCTTTGCTTACACCACATTTTAGATTATACTGCTGTGCTGGTGTATAACAACTGAAGAGCACATATTTATGAGATGGAAGAAAAAGGATCCTTCAGGCAAGAAAGGATGAGAATATTTCTGAGGAGAAGAGCATATTTTGGAAGCCACCTTTTTTTGTGGGAGTATGGCAGTGGTGGGTTGCCCCCAGTTTGGACTGGTTCTCAAGAACCGGTAGTAAAACCGGTGGGAGGATCTGCCCACTGCCCCGGATGTCATCATCAGTGTTCTGCGCATGCGCAGAAGCAAGGCACACAATCCTGTTGTGAACTGGTACTAAAGGTAAGTAGAACCTACCCCTGGAGTATGGCAATGGCTCAGGAATGATAGCAGACAGGATCTGGATGTTTTGCGCTTTTGAAGAGAAAAATTGGAGATTTTGAAAAGAAAAAAAACCTAGAAACTTAATGGATCCATTTTACTATCTTTTTTTAAAGAGAAAGAAATATTTTAGCATTGAATTTTCTATAGGTACAGATGCTATATGTGGGGCCTTGGGTGTCCCTAATGTATGTGAATGCCACAGTATATATTTTCATTTCTCATTGAATCCATAAGAATTTTATTAATTTTCCGTAACTTACTTCATTTTAATTTATCTTAGTTTGTCAAGAGCAATGTTAAATGTGCATAATTATATCCAGGCATCCAAATACCATGAATACATTTGAACAATATCCAATAATAACAATGCTAAAAAAGTGGGTATGTGCAGAAATGGACTCAGAAACAATCCTATGATATTATGAAATGATAAAAAACCGTCAGAAACAGCCCCATTCTTCAGGTTTCTTTCTTTAAAAAATGTCCAACAGCTTTTTATGCATGTCTTTAACTAATAAATACTTTAGTTAACCATTTTTATTTTGATGATAATATAGCCATGCGTCCCAGTTGCCCACATGCAATAATGTATCTGAAGAAAAATTCCTTTTCATTGTTAAATTGCTAAAATGTTGTTTAAATTGCAAAAATTGAAAAAGCACAAAGAGGTCCTCTTCAGAAGAAACATCTCCATGTTCCATGTTGGGCACCAGAAGCTGAACTATTGTGTTGTCTTTCTCTGATCTCCCTAATTTCAGACTATATGGAGGAATAAAGTTATTTGTCTATAAATCTATGATTCATGGATCAATATGCAAAGGACTATAAACATTGGATCTAATTACTGTTCTACAAATAGAAATACAACTTGAGACAATAACCAGCTTGTGAGTCATTGAGAAGTAATCTTTCCAATTAATGCTAGAGAGTTCCTTCTTATTGAGATACGTACCTCCTCACAAACTGGACAAATATGTTTATCTCTTCCTGGAAGTGATTTTTTTTTTTAGATTGTTGCTCCAAGAGCAGGAACGATAAAAATGAGCTCCGCACATATCAGTTCTATAATATTTCATAGTTTTTGTTGAAAGACTAAGGTTCATGACACATGTCCTTTCAGAATCATTCAGATTTTCACCAAAGCTTCCTCCAGGACCAACCTTATAATACAACTGGTCCCACACTAGACTATATTTATTTCTACATTTAATCCAAGTTTGATAACTTGGCATCTTGATGTCCTCTCTCTGGAACATCTTCTCTCACAAGGGGGGATTGACCCAGGGGTGAAATCCAGCAGGTTCTGACAGGTTCTGGAGAACCAGTAGCGGAAATTTTGAGTAGTTCGGAGAACCGGTAAATACCACCTCTGGCTGGCCCCAGAGTGGGATGGAAATGGAGATTTTGCAATATCCTTCCTCCAGGAGTGGGGAGGGAATGGGGATTTTGCAATAACCTTCCCTTGCCATGGGCACCAAGCCACACCCACCAAGCCACACCCACAGAATCAGTAGTAAAAAAAATTGAATTTCACCACTGGATTGACCCAATCCTGCCAGCCTTCCAGAGGGCCAGAAGGCTTGGGGACCCCAAGGAACTGAGTAGCCTGTTAAATAGTTATATTCTATATTTAGGGAGCACTGTCCTCTGTCTTTTTATTATTTTTTAAATGCAGCTTTTAATTCTTTTTAATTGTTTAATGGTAGAAGACTATGATTTTACTTGTGTTTTAACTGTGTGTACTACCTAAAGTCACAGGAAAGTGAGATGGGTGGCCATAATAAATAAACAAAAGACAAATTAATTAATTAAAAATTGTACTTCACAAAAGAGGATACGTAGTCTTCATTTAAAAATATTCAAATGAAAATAATAGGAAATGTAAAGAACATTTAAGAGAAAGAGAGAGAAATTTTTTTAGAAAAATATTCAGAAAAGAAAAGTTTGGAGGAAAAGACTTGGTTTTTAGCACTGGTAAAGCATTTGCTTATGTGCAGTAGGATCCTACAAGCTTTGGAAATGATTTCAAGGAAGTGGTTCAGACACTGGGCCACCCTTTCACACACCCCACGGGGCCTTCTTTTTCAGACTTTCACAGAAACCCAGAAAAAAATAAGGCTACTCCAAGCAGTCTGTTGAAATCCAAAGGATTTCTTCTGAATCATTTCTGGACCATGTGTGTGACGTGTCCCTAGTCTGTAATTTTTTCAGAGTCCTTCCATCTCAAGTTGGATTGCATCTTTGGTAACTCACCAAGAGTCTTTCTCTCCATGCACCTCTTCCTTCATCTACCTTTTGCCAGCCTTGTATGCTCTCCATCCTCAGCAGCCTGTCTGTAGTTGGGGCATATAAATCATCTTAACGGTCTGACTTGAAAATCAGCTTTTGCTTCTGCAGAAAGAATGACAAGTGCTGTCTCTCTGTTGAACTCTCAATACCTCACTGAAGAGGAAGGTTCATCACATTTTGGGGCCATGTTGTGATACTTCTGAAAACGTCCTCAGATTGTATTCACCAAAATGTATGGCAAAAATTCCTACATTCAGTGCAATGGTGGGTTTTAAATTTTTTTACTACTGGTTCTGTGGGTGTGGCTTGGTGGACATGGCTTGGTGGGCATGGCAGGGGAAGGATACTGTAAAATCTCCATTCCATCCCCACTCCAGGGGAAGGTTACTGCAAAATCCCCATTTCCTCCTGATCAGCTGGGACTCGGGAGGCAGAAAATAGATGCGGGTGGCGCCAGTCAGAGGTGGTTTCTCTGAACTACTCAAAATTTCCGCTACCGGTTCTCCAGAACTGGTCAGAACCTGAAACCCACCTCTGATTCAGTGTCACAATTCTCTCTCCCCCCGCCTTTTGTTCAAAGGGCAGACTAGGTAAATCAAATCTCTGCAAGACATAATGTGTCCATTTGGATCATTAACTCCCCGCCACCAACCCCAAGCTACCCAAGCCAGCTGTGCTTATTTTGGCCACAGAAAATAGGGAAAGAAAATAAAAGCGCATTCATAATAAGATTTGTCATTGCTGCAAACAAGGGGTCATGTGACAGCAGCAAGTGTATAAAATCTGTTCAAAATTTAATAGCAAATGCTAAACTTTAACCAAATTGTGGCCAAGCCAAAGTAGCAACAGGAACTCCTTTAATTCTTTTCCCTGACAGTGATGGATATAATTAGTAGGTATCTTTCTTCGGTGTGGATACAGATGATTGCTTGCCAACAGCAAGCCAAATTTTAACCGTAAGGAACAATCGGCTGGACTGCTGGGTGGATATCATGATATATAAACAGTATGTTCTCCCGAGGGTAAACTGGGTTCATCTCCTAAATTTAAAGAGAAGGAAGGAAGGGCTGCAAGAAAGCCAGTGTTTATAGGGGGGGAAAGGAAGTTGTAATATAGTTTACAGCAAGATAGTGGCATGTGAAACAATCCATGAAGAACTGTGGGTGATTTCTGTTGTTTACAAAATCAGCTTACAACACATTTTTTAAAAAATTAATGTATGCATGGTACACTGTTTTACTTTCTCTCAAAGCACACCGCAAAAACCATGAGGGAAGTTCAGTACTGCTTTAGAAACAATACTTGTTTATGACTTACGGACATAAAGTCTTCTTGTCAAATAATGAAAGACAGTTAAACATTGTTGAAATAAACTACCCAGTCATACCTGAGAATAAGATGACTGGAGGAAGTCAAATACAATTTCTGTGTGCGTTAGACTCTAGATTTCAAATAAGTAAGTAAACCACTTACTTATTCACCCTAACTTATTCAGCACAATTCGATCAGCATTATGTACTGGGCTAAGAAATCATCAGTGAGCAGAATGCAAAACTACACATAAAATACAAAGGACAATAGGAAAGGAAATGTCATAGTATGGCAAAGTCATGGGAGGTGGAGAAACCCGATAGAGAATGGTGCCATGAAAAATGATCATGAAAAATCAAGATAGAAAATGTACACATAACACTAGAAGCTATGCATACTTTTTTATTTTTTTTTTATTTATTTTCATCAACAATGTATTAAATAACAGATATAAGTATAAACATAACTATAAATACATGAAATGGATACGAATAAAAGGGAACATTAAGACAGGGACAGTAGGCACGCTGGTGCACTTATGCATGCCCCTTAAAGACCTCTTAGGAATGGGGTGAGGTTGACAGTAGACAGACTTAGGTTAAAATTTTGGGGATTTGGGGAAGAAACCACAGTCAGGTAGTGCATTCCAGGCATTAACAACTCTGTTACTATGTAAGACAGAGCATTTGTTGGTTGAGATTTGGAGTTGCCAATTGTTTGACCATTCTGATAGATAGTCCAGGTCTTTTTGTAGGGTAGCAGCATTGTTGGTGGTGTTGAATAATTTTACAGTATCAGCGAAGAGACCACAGTTGCTTATAATCTGATCGCAAAGATCATTTATGTAAAGTATAAAGAGTGTGGGTCCTAAAACGCTTCCTTGGGGGACACCGCTGTTAACTGGTGCAAGGTTTGATAGGGCGTTCCCTATTTTGACTACTTGTTGTCAAAATATCCACTTCTATCCACTTATGCAGGAATCCGGAAATGCTGTAAGATTTTAGTTTTAGGAGTAGTTTGTCATGTACTACTGAATCAAAGGCTTTACAGAAGTCTATATAAATTGTGTCTATTGCTTTACCCTGGTCTAGTTGTGAAGTCCATATGATTTGCAGTGTAAGAGTTGCAGATTGCAGGACAATTTTTTTCTGAAGCCAAACTGCTTGTTAGAGAGTAGGTTGTTTGTTTCTAAGTAGAAGGTAATGGATTGGTATATGATTGATTCCATGACTTTGCATGTGATGCAACATAATGAGATTGGTCTGTGATTTTCAACTAGGCTGGGGTCACCATTTTTGAAGATAAGGATGACCATGGCTAGTGACCATAAACTAGGCAAGG